AAAAAAAAAAAAAAAAAAAAAAAAAAAAAAAAAAAAAAAAAAAAAAAAAAAAAAAAAAAAAAAAAAAAAAAAAAAAAAAAAAAAAAAAAAAAAAAAAAAAAAAAAAAAAAAAAAAAAAAAAAAAAAAAAAAAAAAAAAAAAAAAAAAAAAAAAAAAAAAAAAAAAAAAAAAAAAAAAAAAAAAAAAAAAAAAAAAAAAAAAAAAAAAAAAAAAAAAAAAAAAAAAAAAAAAAAAAAAAAAAAAAAAAAAAAAAAAAAAAAAAAAAAAAAAAAAAAAAAAAAAAAAAAAAAAAAAAAAAAAAAAAAAAAAAAAAAAAAAAAAAAAAAAAAAAAAAAAAAAAAAAAAAAAAAAAAAAAAAAAAAAAAAAAAAAAAAAAACGTTCTTTGAGATATAGGCTTTTTACACTATAACTTACCGGCAAGACATGATGTTTTTGGAAAATTAGGCTATTCACTTAGTAAATTATGGGTCAGATGTTGCGTTCTCAGATTTATAGGCTTTTTACACTATAACTTACCGGTAAGATATGGTGTTTTTGGGAAATTAGGCTATTTACTTAATAAATTACTTGTAAGATGTTGCGTTCTCTGGTATATAGGCTTTTTACACTATAACTTACCGGCAAGACATGATGTTTATGGAAAATTAAGCTATTTACTTAATAAATTAAGGGTAAGATGTTGCGTTCTCAGATTTATTGGCTTTTTACACTATAACTTACCGGTAAGATATGGTGTTTTTGGGAAATTAGGCTATTTACTTAGGGCCCGTCTGGTAACGTTTTCGGAGAGTGTTTTCTGAGAATATTTTCAGAGAATGAAAACAAGAAAACAAATTTGTATTTTCAGGAAATGAAAATGCGTCTGGTAGATTAATTAGAAAACATCTTCAGAAAACAAAAACAATGAAAATGTGTCTGGTAGTACAATTTGAAAATAATAATATGTGACTTATTTTCAATTGTATTTTTGCTAATTTCTGTTTTTTTTAATTTAAAAAAAAAATCTGCTCTTTTTCAAAGACAACACTTTATAAACAATAAAAAAATGTATAATTTAACAAATAAAAAATTCTATTGTTTTTTTTAAGACAAACTATCTTATCTCATTTCTTTTTTCTCTTTCTCTTTCTTTCTTCCTTTCCTTCCTTCCCAGGCCCGTGCCCTTCTTCTTTCTCTTTTCCTTTTTTCTTCTTCTATTCCTTCCCAGACTTTCTTTTTTCTTTCTTCCTTTTTCTCTGTTTTCTCTTCTCTTCTTCTTCCTCTATATGATTCTTTCTCTTCTTCTTCCTCTCTTATTTTTTATTTTCTTCTTCCTCTCTCTGATTCTTCCTGTTCTTCTTCTCTCTTCACACCCATCCTCTCTCTGTTTTCATTTGTTAATGGTTGGTGGTGGTTCCATTGGGTGGTGATAGTGGTTCAACTGGGTTTGTGGCAGTTATGGTTCGATTGCTTTGGTGGTGATCGTGCTTTGGAGGTGCCGGTGCGGCAAACTAGACGATGGGTCTGGATCGGGGGAGATGGGTTTCTCACAGGTGGTGCTCTTTATTTTTTTTTTTTTTTTTTTTTTTGATAAGTAAATCACGATCTCAGATATTTTAGAAGAAGAGGAATAGCTATGGAGAATTTCAAAGACAAGAATCGATGTTGATTGGAGAAAGAGAGATGGAAAAAATGAATTATCGTATGGACTGAAAATGAAAACGTTGAAAACGAAAACAACATAATATCGTTTTCAACTTTTGTTCATGAATTGGATTTGTTTTTGGAAAATATTTTTAGGGAAAACAAAAACGTTCCACCGAACAGGTTTTTGCCAGAAAACAGGAAATGAAAACAGAAAACGGGCCGTGAAAACGATACCGAACGCGGCCTTAATAAATTACTTGTAAGATGTTGCGTTCTCTGATATATAGGCTTTTTACACTATAACTTACCGGCAAGACATGATATTTATGGAAAATTAAGCTATTTACTTAATAAATTAAGGGTAAGATGTTGCGTTCTAAGATTTATTGGCTTTTTACACTATAACTTACCGGTAATATATGGTGTTTTTGGGAAATTAGGCTATTTACTTAATAAATTACTTGTAAGATGTTGCGTTCTCTGATATATATAGGCTTTTTACACGAAAACTTACCGGTAAGATATGGTGTTTTTTGAAAATTAGGCAATTTACTTAAAAAATTACGGGTAAGATGTTGCGTTCTTAGATATACAGTCTTTTTACCCTATAACTTATCGGCAAGATATGGTGTTTTTGGAAAATTAGGCTATTTACTTAATAAATTAAGGGTAAGATGTTGCGTTCTCAGATTTATTGGCTTTTTACACTATAACTTACCGGTAAGATATGGTGTTTTTGGGAAATTAGGCTATTTACTTAATAAATTACTTGTAAGATGTTGCGTTCTCTGATATATAGGCTTTTTACACTATAACTTACCGGCAAGACATGATGTTTATGGAAAATGAAGCTATTTACTTAATAAATTAAGGGTAAGATGTTGCGTTCTCAGATTTATTGGCTTTTTACACTATAACTTACCGGTAAGATATGGTGTTTTTGGGAAATTAGGCTATTTACTTAATAAATTACTTGTAAGATGTTGCGTTCTCTGATATATAGGCTTTTTACACTATAACTTACCGGCAAGACATGATGTTTATGGAAAATTAAGCTATTTACTTAATAAATTAAGGGTAAGATGTTGCGTTCTCAGATTTATTGGCTTTTTACACTATAACTTACCGGTAAGATATGGTGTTTTTGGGAAATTAGGCTATTTACTTAATAAATTACTTGTAAGATGTTGCGTTCTCTGATATATAGGCTTTTTACACTATAACTTACCGGCAAGACATGATGTTTATGGAAAATTAAGCTATTTACTTAATAAATTAAGGGTAAGATGTTGCGTTCTCAGATTTATTGGCTTTTTACCCTATAACTTACCGGCAAGATATGGTGTTTTTGGAAAATTAGGCTATTTACTTAATAAATTAAGGGTAAGATGTTGCGTTCTCAGATTTATAGGCTTTTTACACTAAAACTTACCGGTAAGATATGGTGTTTTTGGAAAATTAGGCTATTTACTTAATAAATTACTTGTAAGAGGTTGCGTTCTCTGATATATAGGCTTTTTACACGAAAACTTACCGGTAAGATATGGTGTTTTTTGAAAATTAGGCTACTTACTTAATAACTTACTTGTAAGATGTTGCGTTCTTAAGATATATAGGGTTTTTACACTATAACTTACCGGTAAGATATGATGTTTTTTGAAAATTAGGCAATTTACTTAAAAAATTACGGGTAAGATGTTGCGTTCTTAGATATACAGTCTTTTTACCCTATAACTTACCGGCAAGATATGGTGTTTTTGGAAAATTAGGCTATTTACTTCATAAATTAAGGGTAAGATGTTGCGTTCTCAGATTTATTGGCTTTTTACACTATAACTTACCGGTAAGATATGGTGTTTTTGGGAAATTAGGCTATTTACTTAATAAATTACTTGTAAGATGTTGCGTTCTCTGATATATAGGCTTTTTACACTATAACTTACCGGCAAGACATGATATTTATGGAAAATTAAGCTATTTACTTAATAAATTAAGGGTAAGATGTTGCGTTCTCAGATTTATTGGCTTTTTACACTATAACTTACCGGTAAGATATGGTGTTTTTGGGAAATTAGGCTATTTACTTAATAAATTACTTGTAAGATGTTGCGTTCTTTGATATATAGGCTTTTTACACTATAACTTACCGGCAAGACATGATGTTTATGGAAAATTAAGCTATTTACTTAATAAATTAAGGGTAAGATGTTGCGTTCTCAGATTTATTGGCTTTTTACCCTATAACTTACCGGCAAGATATGGTGTTTTTGGAAAATTAGGCTATTTACTTAATAAATTAAGGGTAAGATGTTGCGTTCTCAGATTTATAGGCTTTTTACACCAAAACTTACCGGTAAGATATGGTGTTTTTTGAAAATTAGGCTATTTACCTAATAACTTACTTGTAAGATGTTGCGTTCTTTGAGATATTGGCTTTTTACACTATAACTTCCCGGTAAAATATGGTGTTTTTTGAAAATTAGGCTATTATTTAATAAATTATGTGTAAGATGTTGCGTTCTAAGATATATATGGTTTTTACACTATAACTTACCGGTAAGATATGATGTTTTTTGAAAATTAGGCAATTTACCCCAAAAAAAAAAAAAAAAAAAAAAAAAAAAAAAAAAAAAAAAAAAAAAAAAAAAAAAAAAAAAAAAAAAAAAAAAAAAAAAAAAAAAAAAAAAAAAAAAAAAAAAAAAAAAAAAAAAAAAAAAAAAAAAAAAAAAAAAAAAAAAAAAAAAAAAAAAAAAAAAAAAAAAAAAAAAAAAAAAAAAAAAAAAAAAAAAAAAAAAAAAAAAAAAAAAAAAAAAAAAAAAAAAAAAAAAAAAAAAAAAAAAAAAAAAAAAAAAAAAAAAAAAAAAAAAAAAAAAAAAAAAAAAAAAAAAAAAAAAAAAAAAAAAAAAAAAAAAAAAAAAAAAAAAAAAAAAAAAAAAAAAAAAAAAAAAAAAAAAAAAAAAAAAAAAAAAAAAAAAAAAAAAAAAACTTGCATGTTGCAAGACAATGTAGCTAGGCACAGGGATGCCAAAGGCAAAGGGGATGTCAAAGGCACAAAGCTTGCATGTCGCAAGGCGATGTGCCTAGGCACGAGGGTGCCGAAGGCGACACAAACCTTGCATGTTTGTAAGGCGATGTGCTTGGGCACGGGGGTGCCGAAGGTGACACAAGGTGTGGCTAGGCACGGGGGTACCGAAGGCGACGCAAAGCTTGGATGTCGCAAGGCGATGTAGCCAGGCACGAGGGTGCCGAAGGCACAAAGCTTGCATGTCGCAAGGCGATGTGGTCAAGCATGGGGGTGTCGAAGGCACAAAGCTTGCATGTCGCAAGGCGATCTGGCTAGGCACGGGGGTGCCAAAGGCGACACAAGGCTTGCATGTCGCAAGACGATGTGGCTAGGCACGGGGGTGCCGATGGCGACACAAAGCTTGCATGTCGCAAGGTGATGTGGCTAGGTACGAAGATGCCGAAGGCGACACAAAGCTTGCATATCGCAAGGAAAATTGCAAATGTGCCTTTTTTTTTCTTTTTTTTTCCTTTTCGGTAGCTTGGGTAGCTTGGGTGTTTGGTGAGGCTTGTGGCCCTTTTACACGGCCCTTGCCGTTCGGCAAGGAGGTCAGGCTGTTTTGGAATTTTGTTTGCCCATGCTTCTGCAAGTAGGGATTTATGGGGCCGAGCCCTTGTGTTTTGGCATGAGTCTTTTGCTAGGCTTGGCTTAGACTACGTATGAAGCTTTCAGCATGCTGTGTTGCGCTGGCCATTACCTTCTTCCACATCGCAAGGTTTGTGCATGGTCAAGCCTTGCGCTCTTCTCCGCTTTGGTAAGTTAGAAGGGAGTTGGGTTGCGTGGCATTGAGGAGCTAGGCTGGGAATCAAGTGCTACCGTTCGAAAGGAGGTTACAGCCTGCTAGAGCACACCCTCGACTTCGGGGATTTGGATATGGTTTCGTGTTGTCACTGCTTCGGCAGCATAGGCCAAGTCTCACGGTGGTCCGAGGATCTTCGAGTATTGGGCACCGAGTCTGCAGCATTACCCTTGCCGAACGGCAAGGGTGGCTTGGGAGCCTTTTTGGAGGCATTCTTTGCTCCTTTGATCTAGGTCCTTGGTCTATCAGCAAGAGTGAAGGTCGCGAAGCCCAACGCCAACTGCATGTTGGATTCGTCGTCTCACTGTTTCAGTGCCTAACAGCTAAAACAAGCGAGTCTTTTCGTGAGAAGATTTTTCATGGTTCCTACCGTTCAGCAAGGCTGAAGGTTGTGGGGGCATTCGGCATCGGCAAGTCTCGGCTTTGGCAGCAGAAAGTCTCGGCTCGTGTTGTCATGGCTCTAGCAAGGGGTCTTCTCCGGTTCAGCAAGGTCAAAAAATGGAGGTTTCAACCAAGTGTGGCAAGCGCTGTGTAGTTGGAAAAGAACCTGCCGAACGGCAGGGGTGATTTGGAAATTTTTGAGGCCTCTCGGAGAATTGTGAAGGCTTCGACTGTAACACCCCGACTCCAAGTAAATTTCCAATTTAAAGTATTTAATCTAATTAAATGTGAATTTACGAAATTACCCTTGGGGTAGGGTATTTCGGTCATTTTCTTAATCCGGAAAGAGAGTTTGGGGCAGTGTTTGGTATTTTTGGATTGGTCGCATTGAGGTGAGTCCGTGGACGTGTGGTGGACTCGATTTGGATTTGTAACGAAATTTCGGCATTCAATTTACCTTCGATGGAAAAATCGTAATTAACTCGAGAAGGGTTTAGGTAAAAATCAGCTTTGCTTTCAGTTTTACCTCACTCTCACTCTTTCTCTCTTTCTCTCTACGCGAGCTCTTCTCCCTCTCTACGTAAAAACTCCAGAGTTACTGTTCACCCGAACAGAAAAATCCACGCTGCCACCACTTCCGGCCACCTCAGCCCTCGAGACCGGTCCCAAAAGCTTCGTCTCGACGTCCCGGTCAAGACCCAATAGCTTTCGTCGCCGGAAAACTCAAGAACAGCCGGCAATTGCAACTGGTTCGTTTCGAGATTTTCTCATTTCGGGATTTTCCAATCGTTGCGCCATCGTCTCCGCCGCCTTTTTCCGATGTTTGAGGTGAGGTTTCTTCCTCTCTATATCTGTTCTAGCTGCCTTTGGTTAGGATTGGATCTTTTTGCTGCGTAAAACCCGATTTGAGAAGTTAGGGTTTTGGCCGGTTTTCAATTCGAAATTCCGGCCAGTTCCCGGCGGTTTTGGGCTTGGCCGTAGTTGAATGAAGTGCTCCCCTAGTTGAGTAGGACCTGTAGCCGGGAGGGTGACTTGTGATTTGGAGATTTTCCGTCACCGGAATTTCTCTGCACAACCGCTTGCTGCCAGCGCTTGTGGCGGCGTGTGGGCAAGTGTGGTGGAGCTGCAAATTGTTCCAGTGTGATCCTTAGGTTGTCACGAGCGCGTAGGATTTCGTGGATCTCGATTCCGAGGTCGTTTGACTATCGAACGGATTATCGCATATTGTGCGTTATCCGGGTTCGATATGTTCCGACCGTTGGATCGTTTTCAAATTGAAGTATGTTACTCTAGACACCCTTAGGATCGTGTAGGATTCAACGGACTGAAAAACAAAGTCCCGTATTCTCCGAAAATGCCAACCCTAGGGTTAGGGTTTCAGTAACCGTCCAATCGTGTGATCGTGAGCGATCTAACCGCCCGTTTCAGACCAAACTTGCAGGACGTGTATCCTAGACCTTGTAAAACCTATAGGAACTCCCGGATTGAAAAACGGAGGTCGTGGGTCCCGTGGGCCCGGTTGACTCGAATTGGAAAGTTTGATCGTCGGTTGACCGAGTGTCTTCCGAGGCTGTTTCATCGTGCGAATTGGGTAGTTGGACCCTAGAACACCTCTTTCCTCGTACTCACTGGAAACCTGAGAAGCTAGAGTTTTATTTTAAAGTTCTGTTTCGAAGCGCTTGATGTTAATCGCATTTTCGTATTCTGAATCAGGTACTCCGACCCCGTATACGCAGCAGGCGGGACCCTCTCAGGGTCAAACTGTGTGGGACTACTTGTGAGTGGACTTTTCTTTCAAAACTTCAACATGACTTTATTCATGGAAAATATGGCATATTGCTTTATTTTGTTTATTGAATATGGTATATATTCGAATGTGAAATTCGTGGTTTTCATAAAGTTTTGATAATATGTTTGGGTTTTGAGAATATATACACATATGGTTATGTGTGGGGTACTTGGGAGGTTAATATGAGTTTATGTAAAGGGGTGATTATTGATATGTCTGTTTGGAGTGCTTTAAGCACTATCCTATGTACCTCATTGGATCTGAAACTTGATTACTGATACTGAATACACTTGGAATTATTTGAGTTCAGGACATCCTTGAGGGGATGTTGCTGTGGACCTTGGATTTGGGGTAGTCTGCACGCGTAGGACTGGTATTTCAGGCGTACAAGCTTTGACTGTGTCGGCTGTACGTGCTGGCTGAGAGTTAGTTCCCCAGTTGGACGGCTCGTTCCCTAGACACATGGTGAATTAAGGAATGGCTCTGCCATGTGGACTAGTCAAACAATCCCCCGGTTGGATTGTTTCCCCGGTACAACTAAATTTTGGTTATATTTATATATTATTATTATTATATTTTATATTACTATATATATATATATATGAATATTCTGTCGTTCTTATTTCTCGGTAAGGATACTTCCTCACCGGTCGTACCATTGGGTACGTTTTTGAGAGTTTAATCTATCGGGACTCTTAAGTTTTGAGTGGTGGGTTTTGTGAAGTGTGATTCACGGATTTCGGATTTGGTATCCGGTATTATTTTTAGTATATGTTTATATACTGCTTATGACGGTTTTATTATGCATCTGGATTCGTTGCATGTTTTTATAAAGGTGGGGTTATATTACTTTGATTTAATTGAACTGAACTTAATTTTCGTCCACTCACAATTTTCTGTTTTGCGCCCCCAGCCAGTAGCAACTGAGCTCCACAGTCGAGCCGGACCGAGTGCTCTCGAAACTTGAGTCTTCGTAGGGACTCCTTCACCTTTTCCTTTTAGTTGAACTGTACTTCTGTTGTATTTGAATTTCTTAGATATGCTCTGTATCGCCCGCTGAGGGTATAAATCGTGAGGCCGGAGGCCTTTGTTGTAAACTGTTTTATTGCTTGTAAAGCATGCTGCTAGTTGGTTGTTTATAACTGTAATTTTGAACAGGTTAAAGTTTGGGAATGTTCATTTTACAGGGGAGACTCTGCCAAATTTTTGGTAGAAAGTCTCGGTCTTTAGTAAGTGGGCCCGGCATCGGGGTGATGTCGGAATTTAGGCGGGGTCCGTCCCGGTTTCCAAGAAGATTCGGGGCGGGTCCTATCATCGGCAGCTCAGCAAGAGAGTAGTTTGGGCTTGCTTCGGCAAGGGGGGTGAAGAACGCAGCCGAGCTGTGGTGGTTTCGGCAAGTGAAACACATCGGCAAAGTTTTGGGTCTCTCCACCTGCAGCAGGTATTGTCATGTGGCCCTCTACCTTCTGCACAGTCCTTGCCGTTTGACAAGGCTATTTGCCTTGTTGTTTTGTTTTTTAGACCCCTCCTTTCTTTCTGCTGGGACCCTTGCCGTTCGTCAAGGGTGGTACGACATGGATTTTGAATGTTGTTGTCTATATTCCCAGCAAAGCTTTGGGAGTTGGAGGCCTAGCGAAGTGACGGAACTAAGACAAGACCCGGTGATTGGGAAATTTCTCGGTTCGGGCCATTGGAGCTAGGCCTTCGGCAGGTGCTGTCCGGTTTTGTTTTGGAGGAGCTGTTGCCGATCGGCAGGGTCGTTAAAAACATTTTGTGAACCTCCGTGTATGCTGTTGGGGTAGTGTTGGCAGAATCGGCAAGGTTGAAGGTAGGAGGCTGGTGCCTTAGAGCGCTGGGTCCAGGTTTAGGAAGGGTCTCCAGAGCTCCGGGACTTTGTTTTCTTGTTGTTGGAGCCATTTTTTTTTTGGTCTGCCCCAAATTTTTTACGGCACTTGCCGTTCGGCAAGAGAGTATCACTCGGATCTTGCGAGTTTGAGGGGCTTCAGAGCTAGTACTTGTGGGGTTCGGCGTCAGCAAGGACTGGAGATTTGATTTTGTTTCCCAAGCTCAGTAAGACAGTGGTGTCGGCTAGGATTAGCTTTGAGGTCGAGTTCTTGGCTGCTGGTGATTAGTGCGAGAGTTGTGGCGCTCGGGGTGGAAACTGGTCTCGGACACTACTAGTAATTGAGGCTTCCCCAAAATTCTTCCAAGGAGGGGTGCTGTTCGGCAAGGGATTGGAGGCATAATTTTGGTGAGGGTTGAGAGTTGTTTTTGCATCGCAAGGCCCTTGCCTTTCGGCAAGGGTAATGTTTTTAGCTGGTTTGGTGAATTTGGCTAGGCCCGTTGAGCAAAAGAGGAGCCTTTACTTCGTAAGCTTGCTCTCCTTTTCGTATGAGCCTTGCGGTCGGCAAGGCTGGTGGGAATTTAGCTCCCCCTAGCCAGTTCAGTTCTAACAGTTGGCTCTGCTTTGTTTTTGGCAGGGTCTAAAAGACAGGAGAGTGGAAGCTGGGCTTCTGAAGTAGAGCTAGGTCATCCTCATTCGGCGAGTGGAGTTTAAGAGCGGTGAGTCCTTTATTTTGCTTCTTTGAACATGTGGTTTGATCTGCAAGGGTGTCTAGATCAATTTTTGACATCTATTGCGTTGTTTTCGTTGTTCACCAGGTGGGAATCTCGAAAACATCCTCACAGCTCCTGCCGTTTGACAAGTAACTTGGGAGTTTGAGCTGGTTCTTAGGAGCTTGTCCTTAGGGTTGGGCATGTGAGAAAGAGTTGAAATTTTGAGGCTGAGCTTGTGGAGATTCGCAAGAATATGGAGTGGTGCACAAATCTTTCTCAAAAGGTGGCTTGAGAGTTTGTGATGGTGGTTTGTGTGATCCTCTGGCAGGGTCTTGGTTGGGCCAAGGAGAGAAGGGATTGAGCTTGGAACCTGAAGCTGAGCCTTCATTTATGCTTAAGTACAGCCGTAGGTCTGGGCCTCTTGGTTCTGTAGCACGTGGGTGTGGATTTTGATTTTTGTAGTTTGTTCTGCTTTCGGTTGATCCTTTCCGTTTGGTAAGTGATAGTGTTTCGAATGCAGATTGCACCGTTAGCTCCCTTCGGCAAGAGGCGAAAGTGCGCTTAGGTGTTTTGGGCTGGTTCAGGGCTGGGCTGATATAAATTTGATATTTGTCACCCCTTGGCAGATTTGGTGTGAGCCCCTCCGATTCCTTGTTTGGCAAAGAGTGAAGGCCTGGCATGCGGGCTTGCTTCGGCAAAGTTGAAGAATTTTGAGCCTTTTCTGCTGCATAGCCCCTTGCTGTTTCCGCAAGGGTAACTGAAAAGAAAATCTTGGGGCTCCCTGGAAGTTTTGGTGTTTTCGGCAAGGTGACATCCTCGCGCCCCTTGTTTTTCTTTTGCACAGTGCTTGCAATAAGGCATTGGTGTCTTGATAAAAATTGGCGGCTGGGTGCCACAGGCTAACTATGATTTGCCGATCCGCACCTTGTTGGTGTGACACCATGGGTGTCTTGAGAGGTTTAGCGAGAGGTGAGAGATGACATCTGTTTTCAGCGGATGAGAGGTGCTGGAAGTCTTTATATGCTTATTTGCATGGGGGCACCGAACGATAATGTGCCATTCTTAAGCCCTTTTTGCTGAACAAAACTTGATGAAGACACCAAGGTGGACACTATCCATTGGTGGTCTGGCAGTTAGGTGCCATTATTTATACCTCATATGGGCTTTTGAAAGGAGTACGTGGGTATCCTTCTTGCCCATGTTGGCATCCAATTGAACCACGTTAACCAGAATCTGTAACAAAGATTGCATGCATGCTTTGACATAATATCATGTGAGAGAAAGAATCTTTATTTTTGGCAATGACGCACGTGGCTCTCCTTTTGGCAAGAAGCCATGAAGTCTGAGATGGATTATATATATGCCAACCAAGTCTGGGCATTGGTTGATCCACCTGAAGGTATAGTGCCAATTGGAAACAAATGTATCTTTAAGGGCAAGGTGGAGACCTACAAAGTTATATTAGTAGCTAAAGGCTACAGACAAAGAGTAGGGATCAATTATGAAGAAACTTTCTCTCCAGTAGCAATGATAAAATCCATCCGCATACTTCTCGTCATAGCAGCATATTATTAATATGAAATATGGCAGATGGATGTGAAGACAGCTTTTCTTAACGAACATATTCAGGAAGAGATCTACATGGAACAACCTGAAGGCTTCATATCTAAAAATGAAGAAGAGAAAGTATGCAAGCTGCAAAGGCTAATCTATGGACTGAAGCATGCTTCAAGGAGTTGGAATATTCATTTTGATGAAGCAGTCAAGACTTTTCATTTTGATCAAAACTGAGATGAACCTTGTGTATACAAGAAGGCCAGTGGGAGCGCAGTCGTATTCCTTGTTCTACACGTGGATGACATATTCATGTTTGGAAATGACATATGCTTGTTGACCTCGGTGAAACTATGGTTATCAAAGACCTTCTCAATGAAGGATTTGGGTAATGCATCTTACATATTGGGTATCAAGATTTATAGGGATAAATCGAGAAAGCTAATTGGATTATCTCAATCCCTATACTTAGCTAAGGTGCTCGGAATATTCTACATGGAACAATCCAAGAAGGGTTATTCACTAGTTAGAAGTGGTATTCACATGTCTAAGATTATGAGCCCTAGAACCTAAGAGGAAGTGAAACAGATGAGTAACATCCCATATGCCTACGCAATTGGGAGTCTAATGTATTGCATGCTATGCACGAGGCCTGATATAAGCTATGTTGGTCAAATCTCTGCGCAAAGTAGTGGATAAGACTTGAAAGAAGAAATCTTGAAATCTCAGTGGGATAATCATATAAAAGGAATGATTCACACTAGGATATCGACAATTAGATTTCATGATCTAATAATGTGAACAAGGAGTATTGACATAAGATAAGGATTCAGTTGCACGGTCATTCTAACCATGGTTTATGGGTGTCCTAAAAGGTTTCAATTAACCTTTATTAATAGGAAGAATTAAATTATGGAATTAAATTTGTATATCATTTCTGAGGAGTTGAGTCAACCCACTACCTTGCTAAAGGGAACCTATGGATCTGCACACCCAAAGAATGTAATTTGATGTACAAATGAGAAGACACAAGTCAATGGTTGATAATCAAATGTTAAAGTCAACGATCAAAAGTCAACATATTGACCTGAGCAATTGACCAAAGTCAAACAATTTGACAGGGTCAATTAAGTAAGACTATAATTATAATTTAATAGTTAAATTATAATTAAAAGATTAATTATGATATTAATATTGACATATAGAAATATTGGATTGGGCTTTTAAATATGATTTAAAAGGAAAGGGACAAAATCGCCCAAAGGGCTACTAGGCCCAAGGGATAAAGTGGCATAAGATGACATGACCCATGGACCAAATGGAACCCCAAATACCCACCCAATTGCCTTTTGTGTTGTCCTATATAAGCTAAGTGTTGGAGAAAACCTACCTAGGGTTTTTGGTTTCCTACTTTGGTCGATGAGTGATCATCTTTGTATCTCATCTTTCATAAACCAAAAATTGGTCTAATCAAGAAGTAGACTAGCATCCGTACTTCTTGATTGCCTTCTCTTTATCTCTAAGAGGATTTGGTGTGGTGACGTAGAGGACTCCAATCTTGGAGCCACAAGGTGAAGAAGTCAAAATCAAGAGAAACAAAAGGCCTTTCCAACAAAGGTGTTCATTCTTGAGAAATCAAGAAAAGGTCATCATGGGTAAAAGATCTATTGCCTTTTTCCTTTTTCTATTTGTGTTACAAGAGACTAGGCTAAGATACTTGGTTTAAAATGAAAAAGGTTTAGCTCAACATGTATAAACAAAATGAATCCGCCATTTAGAATGTTTTTGTTGTATAGGTTGTGGCTAAAGTTCATTTCCTAACCATCAGATGTATGTTTCCTTCAAGTCAATGTTCTTCCCTATTCCCTGATGAAGAACCTGAATAAGACCAAGGAAGATCTTATCCCGTGTGGCGTGGCCATGAGCGGCTTTGTCGGTAACAAGCCCAAAACCATTGCAATATTGCCATTGAAAATAACTGTGTACGATCAGACAAGAGTTAAGGCCTTTTATGTTGTGGAGTCGAATGTGGACTACAAACATATTGCTTGGCGGAGACGGGCAAAAGTGTCAACCCTAGCTCACGGAACATACAAGTGTTATTGAATCGGTTCAGTTTTTTTAATTCATGTTTTCACAGATCTTTTGGGTCCCTTAGAATCCTCAATCTCTAATTTTGATTCTCATACTTTTTCCATTCAAATTGGACACTCCTAGCCTTTGATCTAGCCAACCCTAGCTAATTATACAGACATATATTATTGAATAATTTCAATTTTTTTGGTTGTTTTAGCAGATCTTTCCAGTCCCTTCGAATCCTCAATCCCTAATTTGAATTCTCGTATGTTTTCCAATCAAATTGGACACTCATAGGCTTTGATCTAGCCAACCCTAGCTCACGGAACAAACAGGTGTTGTTGAGTCGGTTCAGTTTTTATAATTCATGTTTTTACAGATCTTTTGTGTCCATTAGAATCATCAATCTCAAATTTGAATTCTCATACTTTTTCCAGTCAAATTGGACACTCCTAGCCTATGATCTAACCAACCCTAGCTCACGAAACAGACAGGTGTTGTTGAATCGGTTTAGTTTTTTTAATTCATGTTTTCATAGATCTTTTGTGTCCATTAGAATTATCAATCTCTAATTTGAATTCTCATACTTTTTCCAATCAAATTGGACACTCCTTGCCTTTGATCTAGCCAACCCTAGCTTACGTAACGGACGGGTGTGGATGAATCGGTTCAGTTTTTTTGATTCAGGTTTTTGCAGATCTTTTGTGTCCATTAGAATCCTCAATATCTAATTTGAATTCTCATACTTTTTCCAGTCAAATTGGACACTTCTAGCCTTTGATCTAACCAACCCTAGCTCACGGAACAGACAAGTGTTTTTGAATCGGTTCAGTTTTTTTAATTCATGTTTTCACAGATCTTTTGTGTCCCATAGAATCCTCAATCTCTAATTTGAATTCTCAAACTTTTTCCAATTAAATTGGACACTCCTAGCCTTTGATCTAGCCAACCCTAGCTAATTATACAGACATATATTGTTGAATCGTTTCAGTTTTTTTGGTTCTAGTTTTTGCAGATATTTTGGGCCCATTTGAATTCTAAATCTCTAATTCGAATTCTCGTATGTTTTCCAATCAAATTGGACACTCATAGCCTTTGATCGAGCCAACCCTAGCTCACGGAACAGACCGGTGTTGTTGAATTGGTTCAGTTTTTTTTATTCTTGTTTTTGCAGATCTTTTGTGTCCATTAGAATCCTTAATCTTTAATTTGAATTCTCACACTTTTTGCAGTCAAATTGGACACTCCTAGCCTTTGATCTAATCAACCCTAGCTCACGGAACAGACAGGTGTTGTGGAATCGGTTCAGTTTTTTAATTTCGTGTTTTCACAGATCTTTTGTGTCCCTTAGAATCCTCAATCTCTAATTTGAATTCTCAAACTTTTTCCAATTAAATTGGACACTCCTATCCTTTGATCTAGCCAACCCTAGCTAATTATATAGACATATATTATTGAATCGTTTCATTTTTTTGGTTCTTGTTTTTGCAGATCTTTTGTGTCCATTAGAATCCTCAATCTCTAATTTGAATTCTCATACTTTTTCCCAGTCAAATTGGACACTCCTAGCCTTGATCTAGCCAACCCTAGCTCACGGAACAGACAGGTGTTGTTGAATCGGTTCAGTTTTTTTATTTCATGTTTTCACAGATCTTTTGTGTCCCTTAGGATCCTCAATCCCTAATTTGAATTCTCATACTTTTTCCAATCAAATTGGACACTCCTAGCATTTGATCTAGCCAACCCAAGCTAATTATACAGACAGTTATTATTGAATCGTTTCAGTTTTTTTGGTTCTTGTTTGAGGAGATATTTTAGGTCCTTTAGAATCCCCAGTCTCTAATTTGAATTGTCGTACTTTTTCCAATCAAATTGGACACTCATAGGATTTGATCTAGCCAACCATAGCTCACGGAACAGACAAGTGTTGTTGAATCGGTTCAGTTTTTATAATTCATGTTTTCATAGATCTTTTGTGTCCATTAGAATCATCAATCTCTAATTTGAATTCTCATACTTTTTCCAATCAAATTGGACACTCCTTGCCTTTGATCTAGCTAATCCTAGCTTACGTAACGGACGGATGTGATGAATCGGTTCAGTTTTTTTGATTCAGGTTTTTGCAGATCTTTTGTGTCCATTAGAATCCTCAATATCTAATTTGAATTCTCATACTTTTTCCAGTCAAATTGGACACTTCTAGCCTTTGATCTAACCAACCCCAGCTCACGGAACAGACAAGTGTTTTTGAATCGGTTCAGTTTTTTTAATTCATGTTTTCACAGATCTTTTGTGTCCCATAGAATCCTCAATCTCTAATTTGAATTCTCAAACTTTTTCCAATTAAATTGGACACTCCTAGCCTTTGATCTAGCCAACCCTAGCTAATTATACAGACAGATATTGTTGAATCGTTTCAGTTTTTTTGGTTCTAGTTTTTGCAGATATTTTGGGCCCATTTGAATTCTAAATCTCTAATTCGAATTCTCGTATGTTTTCCAATCAAATTGGACACTCATAGCCTTTGATCGAGCCAACCCTAGCTCACGGAACAGACCGGTGTTGTTGAATTGGTTCAGTTTTTTTGACTCTTGTTTTTGCAGATCTTTGGTGTCCATTAGAATCCTTAATCTTTAATTTGAATTCTCACACTTTTTCCAGTCAAATTGGACAATCCTAGCCTTTGATCTAATCAACCCTAGCTCACGGAACAGACAGGTGTTGTGGAATCGGTTCAGTTTTTTAATTTCGTGTTTTCACAGATCTTTTGTGTCCCTTAGAATCCTCAATCTCTAATTTGAATTCTCAAACCTTTTCCAATTAAATTGGACACTCCTATCCTTTGATCTAGCCAACCCTAGCTAATTATATAGACATATATTATTGAATCGTTTCATTTTTTTGGTTCTTGTTTTTGCAGATCTTTTGGGCCCATTTGAATCCTAAATCTCTAATTTGAATTCTCGTATGTTTTCCAATCAAATTGGACACTCATAACCTTTGATCTGGCCAACCCTAGTTCACGGAACTGACAGGTGTTGTTGAATTGGTTCAGTTTTTTTGATTCTTGTTTTTGCAGATCTTTTGTGTCCATTAGAATCCTCAATCTCTAATTTGAATTCTCATACTTTTTCCAGTCAAATTGGACTCTCCTAGCCTCTGATCTAATCAACCATAGCTCACGGAACAGACAAGTGTTGTTGAATCGGTTCAGTTTTTTTATTTCATGTTTTCACAGATCTTTTGTGTCCCTTAGGATCCTCAATCCCCAATTCGAATTCTCATACTTTTTCCAATCTAGCATTTGATCTAGCCAACCCAAGCTAATTATACAGACAGTTATTATTGAATCGTTTCAGTTTTTTTGGTTCTTGTTTGAGGAGATATTTTAGGTCCTTTAGAATCCACAGTCTCCAATTTGAATTGTCGTACTTTTTCCAATCAAATTGGACACTCATAGGATTTGATCCAGCCAACCATCGCTCACGGAACAGACAGGTGTTGTTGAATCGATTCAGTTTTTATAATTCATGTTTTCATAGATCTTTTGTGTCCATTTCGAGTCATCAATCTCTAATTTGAATTATCATACTTGTTCCCATCAAATTGGACACGCCTTGGCTTTGATCTAGCCAACCCTAGCTTACGTAACGGATGGGTGTGGATGAATCGGTTCAGTTTTTTTGATTCAGGTTTTTGCAGATCTTTTGTGTCCATTAGAATCCTCAATATCTAATTTGAATTCTCATACTTTTTCCAGTCAAATTGGACTCTCCTAGCCTCTGATCTAATCAACCCATAGCTCACGGAACAGACAAGTGTTGTTGAATCGGTTCAGTTTTTTTATTTCATGTTTTCACAGATCTTTTGTGTCCCTTAGGATCCTCAATCCCCAATTCGAATTCTCATACTTTTTCCAATCAAATTGGACACTCCTAGCATTTGATCTAGCCAACCCAAGCTAATTATACAGACAGTTATTATTGAATCGTTTCAGTTTTTTTGGTTCTTGTTTGAGGAGATATTTTAGGTCCTTTAGAATCCACAGTCTCTAATTTGAATTGTCGTACTTTTTCCAATCAAATTGGACACTCATAGGATTTGATCCAGCCAACCATAGCTCACGGAACAGACAGGTGTTGTTGAATCGGTTCAGTTTTTATAATTCATGTTTTCATAGATCTTTTGTGTCCATTAGAATCATCAATCTCTAATTTGAATTCTCATACTTTTTCCAATCAAATTGGACACTCCTTGCCTTTGATCTAGCCAACCCTAGCTTACGTAACGGACGGGTGTGGATGAATCGGTTCAGTTTTTTTGATTCAGGTTTTTGCAGATCTTTTGTGTCCATTAGAATCCTCAATATCTAATTTGAATTCTCATACTTTTTCCAGTCAAATTGGACACTTCTAGCCTTTGATCTAACCAACCCTAGCTCACGGAACAGACAAGTGTTTTGAATCGGTTCAGTTTTTTTAATTCATGTTTTCACAGATCTTTTGTGTCCCATAGAATCCTCAATCTCTAATTTGAATTCTCAAACTTTTTCCAATTAAATTGGACACTCCTAGCCTTTGATCTAGCCAACCCTAGCTAATTATACAGACAGATATTGTTGAATCGTTTCAGTTTTTTTGGTTCTAGTTTTTGCAGATATTTTGGGCCCATTTGAATTCTAAATCTCTAATTCGAATTCTCGTATGTTTTCCAATCAAATTGGACACTCATAGCCTTTGATCGAGCCAACCCTAGCTCACGGAACAGACCGGTGTTGTTGAATTGGTTCAGTTTTTTTGATTCTTGTTTTTGCAGATCTTTTGTGTCCATTAGAATCCTTAATCTTTAATTTGAATTCTCACACTTTTTCCAGTCAAATTGGACACTCCTAGCCTTTGATCTAATCAACCCTAGCTCACGGAACAGACAGGTGTTGTGGAATCGGTTCAGTTTTTTAATTTCGTGTTTTCACAGATCTTTTGTGTCCCTTAGAATCCTCAATCTCTAATTTGAATTCTCAAACTTTTTCC